TAAACTAAATATTATATCTATTAATATGTGATTTTTACACAAGGGGTGCACTTATATGCGGGTAGTTTTGATGACATTCAAAATGTGTGAAAGTCACTTATAAGTGCACCTATATGCGGCGTAATGCGGTAATTGAATTTAATTATACTTTAATATATCAATAATTATTAATGAAGTTTTTACATGTAATTAATGTGAATATTTGCACTGCATTTGTGATGAGTGCACGTCATATACGAATTGTCCCCAAATTATGAAACATTACTGATGTTATGCTGTATTGAATACAATGTATTGAATATGATATTGAGTTATACTGTAATCATATGATTAGATTCACACCAATTGATGACCAGTTGTGACAATGAGTGGTGAATGTAGTGATAGTGAAGAACCCGTTGTCGTCAACAATAGGTTCGCAAACGACGGATCATTTCTTGAGCTCTTCAAACAAATGCAGAGAAACAATGACAACAAGTCTTCGGCCATCACTTGCATCGCTTCCGCCAACACTTCCAACACTTCCAACACTCGCATCGATTCCACTCTCACTCCACACAACACTCACTCCACTCTCACTCACGACAAAGAGTCACACAATTCACAGACGACTACTGAATGCACTACAAGTGAAGACATCACCACAAATACCACTTCAACCAAATCTTACGTATGTTTTGAGCGTTTCATTCAATCATTGAATCATTGAATGACAGTTGCTTTCATACCAACACACCCTCCCTTTCACCCCTCTCACCCCCTTTGTACTGTTAGATAGGACTCGCCATTCCTCGTGAGCCGTTGTAATTGTAATGTGTTTTTGCCTCAATTTAGGTCTCAATTGCGAAGAGACGGCCGAAGACTTTGAAGACGGGTTTGATTGTTAAGAAACAGAAGACAGACAGTGCTTCACGTGAGGAGAGGGACGGCGAGCCGACCGACGCCTGGAATCGCTATATGAGAGAAGTGCGAGAATATAAGGAAAAGTATGGCGACGACAACGACAAGAATAGACCTCTCGTGAAATAGTGTCGGCCTTTCACTCGATTCACCGCTTCATTAATCCCTGCCATCACTCGTCTCTCAATGCGTTAATCCATTGAACGATAAACCAAACGATATGAACATTAAATCATTTTCAATATTTTCGTCCAATCGATCAGTGAATCCTATTTGGCGTTTAAACTATTTAACTCTAAAACTTGTTTATTAACAAACGATTACAACATTTTGTTAATTATATGATTAAATACCGGTAATAAAATATAATATCAATGTCTTGTATCAATATATGCAATTTGGTGGCAATTAGTAAGCATTGCACTAACTCTACCTCTATATTGCAACATCATGTGAAGTAAAGGTAATGCAATTGTGTAATACGATTGATTGGAAAATGTGTATATCATTATGATATTATCATAGAATGAATTAAAAACATTTGATTTAATATGAAAATATCAATTTTAAATCACGAATGATTAAACACTGGTTGAAATTGTGCACAATTTTTCCATTTGATGACTAGATATTGGGAATCAATGATATGAAGAGAATATTAAAATTTGTTAAAACTTTGTTTCAAAAGATTTTTGGCGGCATTGATGTGAAACACAATTACAGATATGTGTTGTTTAATTAGAGGCAAAAGTTTTTGTTGTGACTCTTGTGTAGAGTTGTGAGTGATTTCCCACAACAGATGATAAAGTCCTGCAAAACTGGAACCGCTGTACGAATCGAAAGCATTTGGGGATAAAATAATATGTTTGTAATCTTTACGGAAAGGAAGGCCATTGGGTTCGAGGAATGTTCGCTCGATTGACATCAATATATCGTTAACTCTTCGCAGTTGTAATGCACTGAAAAGACAATGTTTAGCACAAGTGTTCATAATTAGCACTTATATTACTTTTGTTCATCAATTCGCTTGAGTTTATTGCTGAAGGAATTGATGGCCAAATCAAACTCGTCTATAGATTCTTGTAAAAAGTCTATTAATGTTTTACAAAATAATAAAAACTGAAATTAGATATAATGAACGTATGATTTTCAAGTAAATTAACCTAAACTGATGTCGTATTTGCGAAATAAATGATTACTACTATTGTTTAGGTCATCAAAAGCTGAATGCAAGAAATGTGGGTAATATTGAAGTGAATCGCTTATTGGAAGCATTGGACTATCGCTTAGGGATCGTAACATTTCAGCCCATATTTGTGTCAACGCTTTACTGAACTAAATATAAAACAATATTACTATCAAATCAAGTGTTGATAACAATGAATGGCATTTACTTTAAATCCTATATCCGTAAGATTAGACATTAGATCATATGTTTCATACATTGTGTGATAGAGAGGATAACACTTAATATGGGTTGAGTGGTCGCAATTGTAATACATATTAATGACAGGAACTCCAGAAATGTGGAGGAAAGGCATGTGATCGCTACCAGAACCTGGAGTTTTGATGTCTGGTAAATGAATCCAATCAAATGAATCGGACGGTCGATGTTTTAGGTATGAATCGTAAACTGTTTTCAACCCTTCTTTCACTTCGTTCTCATTAGGATTAGAGACCGCTTTAGTTGCTTCCCATACAGTGCTGTATAGAAGGGGAACGGCCTCTGCCTGGAAGCTATAGTTGCCATTGACTGCAATGTCCACATTGATGTAGGCAACCGCTTGAGATGCAAGTAATTTTTGATATTCTTCTACCTATTCATCAAAATTGTATACAAACTATAGAAGGAAAGAGAGTTTGAATAAAGAGTTGATTGTATTACCCATTCTGTGGATCCAATGAGACCCCATTCCTCGGCAGCCCAACTGCAGAATACAATACTTCTTCGCGGACACCACTTCTTAGTTCGAATAGTGTTCATAAAAGCTGCCGACAACTCAAGCATAGAAGCGGTTCCGCTGAGTGGGTCGAGTGCACCGAAAGTGCCGGCGTCGCGATGGTTGCCAACCAACACAAATCTGTCGGGTTCTGTACAGCCTGTGATCACACCAATAATGTTATGAATTGCAGTTTCCTTCACATATGTATTCACTTCGAGTTCAATATAACTGTTGTCTATATATCCGGGCCCTAAGCTGTACGTAATGTTCAGCCCTCCGACCCACTGAGTGGGCGCTTTCGGTCCATTCAGGCCTTTCAGTATATATCGTGCGTCAGAATAGCTGATAGCTTGGGCTGGAATTCGTGGCATTTTCACCTCCTTTATTGGCAATCTGTAGGCACTTTCTGAGCATTTCAAAGCATTTCAATGTATTAATAATCAATGTTATGTTAATTTACTTATTGACGGATAGAATGGTGTTTGTGGGTCGCCGGCAGACAACCTTATGGTTCCTCTTTGGACACCAGATTCCGGTAAATACACACCATTTGGAAATGTATTGTTTGAGTTGCCATCGGTGTAGTCATAGGGATCAGAGTATATGATAGCCCCGATAGCGTTGTTATCTTCAGCCAATTTAACAATATTTGCGGGAAAAATCTTTGCGTATCTGACAATCACTATATGTCCGGCAACAGAGACTCCACTTTGTTTCAAATAATCGTAATCTTCAGCCCTTCCATAGTTTACATAAACAGGGATTCCTTTCACCGGTTTATTGCCGGTTGAGTTAGAATATGCTAAAAATGGTCGGTTTTGTTCGTAACACTTCCTTTCACCCAATCGTGCGTTCAATGCATTTTCACATTCACCCGATTTATGAATTACATGATTCGCCAAATCATATTTTATAACCTTAGATCATATCATTTATAATTTCACATTTATAATACAGTGCAACCTCTCTTGGAAAAACTTCTCGTTAGCGAAACACCTCCTCATAAGAAACGGGTTTAAAATATTTATTGGATTTCCTATACTTACAACGTTAAGGGAAGTCTCCATAAGAATTACAGTACCTCCCCATTGGAAATGTATTTATGGAAATTTAGACAAAGTTAGCACTCTTTATAAGAAACTTGCAAACTTTTTACAACTTAATAAATAATAACAATATTTAAAGCATATTTTCAAAACTAAAACTGAAAACAAAACAAACAAACAAAATACGTATATTGTGAATTACTTTAATTTAAAACAAACTGAAATCGTAAATTATTAGCCTAGAAACCTTTTAACGATAGATTAACAAATATATTAATAATACATGTTAGGCGTTGTTCACAAATTACATTCGCACTTGGGGGAGGGGGGGTCGGCCAATGCGAACATTTGCGAACGAGGGGAGGGGTAGAGTCCTGAAGGACGTTCGCATTTAAACAATTTAAAGAGCTTAAGGGATTAATTTTTAGTAAAGTTATTCTTTTAATAATAACAGTTTGATAACAAACTTTACTGTACTGTAAGGTGAATACGGGATAATTAATAAATGCTGCCTTTGTATTATATTATTTCTATTAATTATCCTGTATTCATCTTACATATATTTACTTTACAGTACAGTTAAATAAATATAAGACTTTTGAATAGAAATAGTCTTATTTCCAGATATTCTTTGTCTTCAATGAGAGGAGTGTTAGGGACATGCGAACGTAATAATTTAAAAATGACTACATGCGAACAAAGGGGGAGGGGGTCTAGATTAATGAAAAGTGCGAACGTAATATGTCAACGACGCCTTAACAGTAAGTAATCACATTTATATAAAATAAATTATATATGAACCTCCCTTGAATAAACATTCTCTAACACTTTGGCTATGCATCTTCTCGTTTCCAATGGAGAGATTGCACTGTAATAATTCAATTTGTACCTGATTTGATTTGTTTGGCATTTGATATGACAACAAAACTGAATAGTTTGCAAAAGTAGTATTTAATCCCTGTTCTGACCATTTCTTGTAGACAAACAATGTATTGTTGTCTATGACTTGCTGTTCGCCAGTTATGGGCTGTTGTGTGAGTTGTCTGTAATGAATAAAAATACATTTCAATAATTTGCTCATCAAATTGAGGCATTGAATTAAGCACTTAAGCCAACCGCTAATCCTATTGGCATCGATACCATTCATAAGGCTTTTACGAATGGATTGTGTGTCAAAGAGCACCGAATCAGTTAATTCATGTCGATGTTTATCTCTTATCATCACATAAGCAACACTTATGCCTAACACTAAACCCATTATAACGGCTGAACAAATGCATAATACAAAATATATTTTGCTATTTCCACATCTTTTGGTCGGTCTTTCAGTTGTCACTTCCGGTTCTATCATTAAATTTGTCATCATTTATATTTAGTACTCGACTTCTTAATCTCGACTTCTCAACTTCTTAATAATTCATATAAGTGTAAAATATACTAGGTAACTCAAATAACCATATTATAATGTATTTATCGCATAATTAATTGTAGTGAATATGAATAAAATATGAACAAATAACATCTTAACCCAATGCTTATTTTGAGGCATCTGTTATACGTAGGGATGAACATTTCATTTAGGCTAAATATTGAAATTTTGAACTAAATTTTTATGAAAATGTGAAATCTTCATATGCCTTTTAACTAGATACTTTTAATGTGGTGAAATATATAAACATCAAACTAATTAAAACATTTTCCATTTAAATTAATTACCAAAATTATTTTGGTTGTTTGATATTTCAAAATTATTAAAGATTCTTTCAAATTCTGTTATATATTCTGTGAATATTTTGCGTTAAGTACGAATTATAAAATTTTATACTACAAAATAATAATGAATTTACGACAAATTAAGTATACTGTCAAGTATTTATATAAATTATTTTTTGATAATAGTTGTTAATTTAGTTTAAATGACACAAATTAGCGATTTATTTATCAAATATATGTAATATAAATGTCGCTAATATAGAGTGGTTGAAAATTTAGCCTAAATGATCATCAAGACCCCTAAACTTTCCCAAACTTTCCCAAACTTTCACGACTGACATCTTTAGTTATACGTAACTATGTGTGTGATCTCGATGTAATAGGGGGTGGGAGGGCAGTGAAACTATAGAGTGGGATAGAATGGGAGACGAGCGACAAATAGATGACGACAAATTGAGGACACAAGTTTTTACCTTAGAGTACATTGCTCAAAATATTTCCAAATAAAGGAAAGTTGGTCACCCTAAATGTCATTTACAAAGCAATTCAATGCTTTAAGTACTTATTTGATTAAAAATGTGGCTATAACTCGGGTGTTTGTGGCCATTGGCTGATCTGATGGCTGAATATGCATCTCGTGGGGTCACTGCACACACGTACTAACCCACACCGCAGCAGAAAAAACCTTTTCGATAGAATCTCTTGTTAGCATAAAAATGTGTACATAATGTCAATTCGTTTATTTATTAATTTAATTATATTTGTAACAGTCATTACATTATATAATGCAATGTTTTTATGGAAATATATTTTAATGAATAATATCTAAATCTCATTCAATAAATTCAACATAACTCACATTTTTGAAACAAAATGTAAGAAAACATGTACCGGTATTAAGTTACATAACGTAAATATTAGCTTTGATTTTATTTAACTTTATTTTAAATTTATTTAAATTTATTTAATTTAACTTTTATTAATACAGTATTATTATAATGTTTTTATTTTAAATTATTTTTTTCTTAATATACTGTACAGTATATGTATCAAATGTGAAACATTTTAAACAATTAACGTTTATTATTTCACTATAAACTTAATATTCAGTATAGTTAATAATTTATTTCAAGTTTATTTTATTTTAATTTTATTGATTTTAGTATAACTTCATAAGTCTTTAATGTATTCTATATTCACATTATATTTACTCGAGAGATGACTTACAACACAATATATTAAACATAAAAATATATTGATTTTAGAGTAGTTTTAAAAACAAAATTTAAAGAATAGTATTTATTATAACTTTTAACAATATTTGTGATTACTTCAAATTATCAATTTTCTAATAATTTAATTTTATGAATCCTTGAATCCTTAAGTATCCAAAATAATTTAAAATAATTTAAAATAACTAAATAATTTATTCAAATAATATCATGAATAATATTATAAATTCAAATATCATTATATATAAAATTCCTTTAATGTTGTCCATTGGAGTAACTTTGGGTCCATATTTATTGTGAGTATTAAACAACAAAATATTTATATATTTAATTAAATTTAAATGAAAATATTTAATGTTAATTAATCAATCTATATATTGAAACCTAAATCTAAATAATAAAAATGATTTCAAATTAATTGTTTATAAACATTATTTGACTCATTAATGAGTCATTATATTTAAAGCATTCAATTGAAGGCAAATAACTTTATTAGATTTATTAAATATATGATTATAAGCTAAATTTTTGTTAAATTAAGGCATTTAATTAACATTATTAATACAATATTGTGCTATTATTACACTGTACATACTACTGTACTTATAATATTAAGTATGTTATACTATTTTTACAGATAAACAATTTTTGATTATTTTTAATAATCTAAGATTAAGACAACAATCCTAAGATAAATTTATTTAATTTAAAAATCAATATTACTGATATGTCATATATTGTCTATAGTTTATAATATTTATATAACAGTTTTTTTTATAACTTATAAACTTATAATTTATAACTTATAACTATAAATTATAAGTCTTCAGAAGCACACATATAATATGCTTATAGCACATGTACTAACCAGTACTGTACGGCTGATTTGGTGTATGTTATATATCAAGTCACAAATAGGATTAAATTAATTAAAATGATTACAAATGTCTTGTTAGACATCATAACACTATCTAAAACACAAACTTTGATATTAAACAAATGGATTCAAAAGAGGCTCCAAAAAGTTAGACCAGATATTGTGGGCTATTCTTGTTTGAAAGGGGAGTAGACTTATGTATCTTTTCTCAAATGATTTTTGTTTAACAATAATTATTACATTGTATACGTATTGTCGATATTGTGAATCCGGTTATATCATATAATTAATCTCAATTATATTTGTTTTCACTGTTTGCGATGCAATGGTTTTATTACTTTAATTTGAATTTAAGATTTCTAAATTTAATCATTAAATTTAGAAATATTTCGATCTAATAAATAGTTATAAATTATGTTCAATTTGAATATTTGTTGTATAATATTTAATCTAGGTCAATCATAAAATCATAATAACTTCATTAATTAAATTTAATCATAGATTGTAATTTACAATGTTTTCAAACATTGCAAACATGAATTAATAGTATTTTATAAGACATTTTATAAACGTATATATTTAAAGGATAAATACGTTTGAGAACAGGTTTGAATATTTTATTAAAATTAATGATTTTTAACTATCATTTAATTCATTAAAATTTAGACAATTTTAGAAATTATATGTAATTTCTATGCAAACAATAGAGCGGAACAGAATATGACGTCCAGTATTTTCCTCATACCATTATATCTTTCATTTCAGATAGTTTTTGGTCCTTTTTTACTGTGAGTTTTTAAAAAATGTACCTTATTGCTAATCCTATTAATAATCGGTTATTATTAATTTACTGACAATACATTATAGTATACAGTGTATACAATTTAACATGATGTGCATACGATAATGTTGTTACTGTACTGTTGTTTAATGATTATATGATTGCATTTGATATTTATAAATAATATAAAAACAATAGCATTGATTGTAATTGATTTGATAATAGATATGGAATCGCTGTCCGTAACGAACGCTTGCAAAATAGTGTGCCGTTTATAAGTGACACCGGAGTGGATGCGCCCGAAGCCCCTATATTTACCATTCTATTCAATTTGGGCGCTATTCTCGTTGCCATCACTGTTTGCATACGACATATGATATTTCATGTCAGATATAATACGAACGGCATGTCTAAGGTCTCGACCACAACCAAACACATGAACCAATTGTCCAAAGTGTGCGGTGGGCTCACAGTAGTTGGTCTAACAATAATTGGTAACTTTAGATCATCGGAAATGAATAGTGTCCATAACTTAGGCACTTATATTACATGCTTTTTTGGTACATTTGATATATTACTTCAATCAAGAATTGCATTCAACAATAAATACAAGAAACTCTCACTTTTACGCCTTTTAATCGTTTTGATAATAATTCCGAGTTTTATCGGTTATGTGTTCATTGAATTTGTTAACAAAAAAGTTTGGAATAATATTTATATAAGAGATTCTTTGGGCCGAAACGTTGCGGCCGTTTGCGAATGGATCGGCTTTTGTATGTTTGGCCCATTTTATGCCACTTTCATCCCTGAATTCAAACAAATCAAAGCCATTAAAGTTGTACTCAATTTTAGTGATGAAGATAAACAACTCTTGTATAATAAAAGTCATAACGAACTCCAAACAAACCAATGAAACTTTTTATGTAATTTTATCAATTTTATACCGGTATTAATATTAAATGAATCTAGTTAAATAAATTAAGTGCAATATTGTTTAGAACTGTTGTTTCAAATGTTACAAACAAAAACCAAATTGTAATTAAAATATCATAGAAATAAAATTGCCCTACAGGTAGAGATGTTAGTAGTGAAACTTTGGGAACGTTTAGGGCTAAATTTAGCCCTAAATTTAGGGAACGTTTAGGGGTCTCGCTGAACATTTAGGCTAAATGTTCAATCACTCTATATTAGCGACATCTATATTCTACATATTTACTACATAAATCACTAATTTCTATAATTTAATCTAAATTAATTCTTATTATGTAAAAATAATTTATTTAAATACTAATCACAATACCTTATTTATCATTAGTATATTATTAGTTTGCAGAATCTAAATTTAGTACTTATGTTTTAAGTATAATATTCATAGAATTGATAGCAGAATATTCAAGAATTTGCAAGAATCTTTAAATAATTTGAAATATCCAGAGAACCAAAAGAATTTTTATTATTATTTAAAATGAAACATGTCTTAATTAGTTTGTTTATTATATATTTCACCACATTAAAAGTATCTAGTTGAAAAACATATGAACATTTCACATTTTTGTGAAAATTTAGCCCAAAATTTCAAAATTTAGCCTAAATGAAATGTTCAAATGAAAATTTTAGTGAAATTTTCATCCCTACCTACAGGTGCCCTCACCCATACATACTCGAGACTAATGAGATGTATTCCCGATCATTTAATAACTAATAAAATCGGGAATTCCCGAAAATAGAGGCTTTAATCATCACAGGCTTATAAAGTATAAACGAATGATTAAAGTTCATTGTGTAAATAAATTAATTTTTAATTTCATGTCAAATTATTCCGGAATTTTCCGTTTTAACAAATATCTTTTCTGTTAAATAAATTAACGATATACATTATAATATAATATAATGATTATATGTATGTTGTATAAATGGCACCAATTTAATCATATGAGCTATGAAAAGCCATAACCAGCTAAACTTTTTTCATTGGGTTTAATCATAACTTTAGTATTGAATTCAACCATTGAATCAACCATTATAAAGTGACTAGCACCAAATATGTAAAGTTTAATGAAAAAAGTTAAGCTGGTTATGGCTTTTCATGGGTCATATAATGTACTGTATATATTGTACATATCAGTCATGAAAAGCCATAACCAGCTTAACTTTTTCATTAGGTTTAATCATAACTTTAGTATTGAATCAACCATTATAAAGTGAATAGCACAAAATATGTAAAGTTTAATGGAAAAAAGTTAAGCTGGTTGTGACTGATATAATGTGTTTCTAAACAATTTAGTTAAAATTAGGGAAATTATGTCTACCAACATTCCTATGACAAACGCTTACCAAAATTGGTAAAATATTTTTTGCATGTGACAAACATTTCAGTCGTTATTTGAATTGAAAAATTATAAGCAATTGATAGAAAAACCATTTTTTGGTAGTCTGAATATTTATATTGAATCAATATGACTCAAAAATTGGTTTCTCTAGTTAAAATATAAAATAAATTGTTAGCAAAATAATGCTTAAAATAGACGATTAGAGTGTTTTATTGGGCAAAGAATTGGCTTTAATCTCAAAATAGAGTTGATATGAAGCGAAGGCATCGATTGCAGCATAACTTTGCTGTTCACAAGTCAATGGATTTCGAGACCAATCGGACAATCGATTTGCTTTACATATGGATTGAGACAATAAATGCTGACACAAACGGCTAAGACTCCAATTGGTGTTCATTCCTATGGATTGTAATGACAAGTGATATAACAATGTATGTCATTGTCGTGTAACATATGATATGATAACATACCTAACAATTGATTGGCCATAACTTTGAGATCAATGACAGATTTGTTATGATTGACAAACAATGAGTCGAAGGGGAGGTCATAATCGCGCTGTAGTTTCCAGAGATCTGCTTCTATATTGAGACCAACTTTAAGACATTTGTTATGAACAATGAGTTGAACCAGAAGTGGAGGAATCGTATAATTCATGGCCGATATATGAAACAAATGACATTCATTTGAATCCAAACACAACTGAATTAAACAAACTTTCGATGCTTTCAAATAAATATCTATTAATTGATTAAATTTGTAAATAAATGAGAGAAATATGTCTTACGTTTAGGTATTGCTCTCCACTCACAATCAAAACCAATGATCATCTTATTGTGGATCAGATCCAGGGATTCACTGTTCAGTTGGTCGAGCAATGACTTCAATATGTCATGTGTTGTCGTAATTGAGTTGTGATAATAAATATGACCATTGAATTGAAGGTATGGATCAGATTTTGTACTCATTTTCTTAATATAGCACTTCATTCATAGTATAAACAGTCAACTAATTATATAAACTAATTATTAATAATTAATTAGTAATTATACATTAACTATACAGACATGTATACTGTATAGTGTATACATTATTAATGCATGTTATTAAGGATATTATGTACATTACTTCAGGAACTTCAATCATATGACAACTAATAATATGTGAAACCATACAATACGTGTACAATACTGGTCGCCAACGAAGTCTCTATTAGAGACTTGGAGTAGAAAAGCCAATTGTCTTACACAACATTAAAATTATGTTTCAAAGTTTGGCTTAAAAATTATTAATCATTCAAATGAATAAACATATTAATAATATGATATTATACACAAAGGGTATAAAATTTATAAAATGCAACTAATCAAATTTACAAAAATCAAATAATAATTTTGAAAACTTATTTAAACGTCTGAAATTATTTCATTCTACTCTCAACTTAATATTAACGAATTCCTATTATTAATAAATAATGCATTAGAAATTCTGACATATTTTGGATCTACTTTTAATTGTGAACTATTTTTTTTATTAATGAAATCGATTAAAAATGATAAAACTAATCGTATTTGCGAGAAGACATTGAGATCACGTTTGAAAATATGGTCAACGAATACGATTGAGTCAAATATTAATAAAATTGTTGATAAACGCAAACAATATAAGAAATCTCATTAAAATGTGATTTAATAATTAAATTTCTATGATTTAGATGACTTTTGTGGATAGACTGAATGTCAACCACTTATAAAAATGGGTGAGAAACTATTAGGTTGACCAACACGCGGTGTTTCTTGTTTAAACTGACAAACCTAAATCTTTTTGACGACTTTTGCGCCACCTTTTTATGGCACACTGTGAATCTGTATATGTGATATGCTAAAAAAGGTTGGCTATCAATAGTGTACAATATACTTATGTACAATATACTTGTATATAGGCTGACCAGATTTAGATATTGAAAAAGAGTACTTTTGACTTTAATTTAAGAGGAAAATAGAGGATACATATTTTGCGTTATTTTTAACCACAATTCTGTATGAATAATGTGATTTATAGGATCGTTCGGCCCCCTCCCTCTCCTCCAATAATGATTGTCCGCATTTTAACTACTCTATGTTTTCATTAACACATGTATTATATAATTATCAATTCTATAACTTTTTAAATTCCTATAATGCGCCAATGTTAAAGTGAATCAAACAGTGTGAACTGATACATTGGCCAATCAACATTAAGATAGAAAGTACTTTTAGAAAGTATTTTTAGAGTTATAGGATGAGTATGTATAAGGCTTACAAGTTATTGGTATAAATGATAGATTTGTGGCCTAACTTTGAAGCCGTGTAAAAGTAATTTCATAATTTAAGTTGACTTCCTTAGGCATCAGAATCCAAGTTTCATCACAAGATTGGATGAATAGTTTGTGAACAGGACTTTTTCAAAGTTTGTCAGTTGGAATTATTTTGAAAAATTTACGTCAAAATATTTGACTAAAAATTATCTCATTTTAAAAGTGAAAATATTTTTACCAAAGATGTGTTTGAAATGATTATTTGGTTATTAGGAATCACTAATAGTTATTTGACAATAGCTTAAGATCTTTAGTGTAAATATCATGACATCAATTATAACGGGAATCAATTGAGAACTCACCGAACACAGGCCGCCAATCGGCTTAATCACCGATTTTTGTGTGGCCACAGTTGGGGTAGCGGTCAATGTTGGCCATCGAATAGTATATTGTTATATGCCTTGAATAACAAAGGTCTCAGAAGATGAAGGGTTTTGAATTATCTCTATTAGTGTTTGAGCATGATCAATTTAATTATGATTTCAACCATCAGTCAATACAAAAACAGAACCCTTCTCATAGGAATACATTAAAACAGTACATACTTTGAATAAGTCCTGTTGTTTCGATCTACTATTCATCCGATCTTAATAAAACTTGGATTCTTATGCCTTTAGATGTCTACTTAAATTATGAAACTAATTTCACAATTCTATCTACACGGCTTCATAGTTAGGCCAAATATTTATCATTTCTACTAATAGTTATATAAGAAGCATTTTTATAATCAATAATATTGATATAATATTATATTAATAATTAGAATCAATATATTGTGTTATAATAAACTTGTATTGATGAGACTTACATTATTAATTTGTGTGATGAGAGCGTTGACATTACCGTGATTTTACATTTAATTATATAAAACCTTAGATGTTATCAATAATGTTTAAGAGTTTAGTTTATTTTCAAGTTTTACTATTTATTGACCCCATCATGACATGCCATCCCTCCCATCCCTCCTATCCCTCTGATGTGTAATAAAATGTAGTTTCAATACAATTTATTGGGCACCTCAATGTCCCACACCAACCACACTAGAACCAATTAAGCATAATTTAAGCAGAGATATACTCTTATGATAAAAGTATAGTCTATATAAATGGTGACACTTTTCACTTTCAGTTCAAGTCTACGAATGAAAGAATTCTCATATTTTCATTGCATATAATTTTTAAACAATATTTAAAAATATGAATTCACGCTTGACTTTGGTTACAATAATAGTGTTTTGTTCACTAAAATGTAATATAATTTATAATTGATTTGATAACAATGAGAAATTGATGTTCAATTAAAATAAATTAATGTTTTATCATTTGAAACAGATATCGATTGTGGTATAAAAGTGATCGCTGACGACAAGTTCTTAGATGACTGTCTCTTTGCGCACAACAAGTATAGAGATCTTCATGAAAATACGAGTCGATTGAAAGCGAACCGAACGGTAAATGTTAATTAATTGTTTGAAATAAATTGAATTGAATTGAATGTGTTTTGTTGATAAGGCGACAGAATATGCATTGAGTAGAATCAGAAGTCTGGCCAAAATCGATGGCCAGCGACCGGTTGACAACCAGAGAGTGGTGTTCGGGGAAAACTTTTACTGGTATTACGACAACACGGGATACCATTCATGTGCCGATGCGGTAGATCTGTGGTATAAGGGGAGGGATCGGTATGACTATAATAGGCCCGCATTTCATGAAAAAACTGGTGGATTCAGTCAAGTGGTGTGGAGAGGATCACAATATTTAGGATGTGCTCGCGTTGAAGACGACACTCGCAAATATTTCGAGACATACATTGTATGCAATTATTTGCCGGCCGGTAATGTCGACGGTCAGTATCCCTATAATGTATACCCATTACGAGAAGTCGATCGACCGTCTGTTGCGCCCGTCATCGGAGGTGGCAGTTGGAGTGGAAGTGCTGACCGACCCGTTAGTGTAGGACATCGTCCAGAGGCCAGTGGACACAAACCTGAGGCGGACAGACCTTACGACAGGCCTAATACAGTGCATCGACCCATCAATGGCGTCAATAACGACGGCTGGGCAGCGGACAGACCTGTTAGACCAGTTGATCGTCCGATAAGTAGTAATGGATGGCCTTCTGATAGGCCATCGACTGGTAGTGGAGGTGTTTGGACAGTGGAGCGCCCGGAGAGACCCAGTGCTCGTCCCCCTCCACCCACACCTCCTGGATATCCCCTCATCTTTTATTATTACTGAAACTCTTGATCAGAAATACTGTAATTTTAACATTTCATTCACTTATCATATGATCTGTACTTTCCTTACATCTGATTGAAGAATAAAATTAATTTTTATTAAAATTGTTGGAAATATTGTGATCGTAATCAGTAAAAGTGTTGTACAGAATATACGAGCAGTGAATGCACTGGAAATTGCAATTCAATGTTAAGTTGAAAGTAGAAAATCTGGATTTCATTGAAATTATTTCAATCACTTTTAAGTTAAAAGTTTTAACATTAAAAACATCTTAACTTAAGATTCTTAAGTGACATTTACTTGAACTCATCGTTGGGGTCAATACATGCTATAGTGAAATAAATATTTCTAATACTAAACATATCCACACTTTTTACCATAATCTGGTCAATATGAGTCCACAATTAACACTCTTCTAAATTAGATTAAAACAGTTTCAGCAAATTGTTTGCATTTGTAATTAATTGTGGACACAAAACAACCAATCGAGTTGACCAATTGATCGAGTTGACCGAGTCGAGCATAGTCAATTTACACTAACTCTCCTTAAGAATGTGAATCTAAAAGTATAGTTAAAGTTACAACTAGTGTAGTTGACTATTATATTTTGCTGCAATCAACTTAGACACCAGTACTCAGTACTTTACTCTCAAGTAACTAACCTAATATTATTTATTGAAATTAATTTAAATGTGCATAACGTAATGCAATTTTATATAACTTATAATATTTGTTAATTTAACAATTTATTAGTCATAATAAAGGCTAATAGAGGGCAATATAGCGGTCATTACATGAAAACACATAAACTCTGTTATTTTGTCAACAATAATAAGGCTATTAGATTAACAATGAATGGGTGTTAGCATTGAGTTGATGTATAAAAAGGGCAATAACTGTAAGAATGGTTAACACAAATGCAAACCTCTATTCAATGGATAGTAAATTCTGGAAAGTTCTCGAATGCATTGAAATGCATATAATATGCAGTGAATTGACGAGCGATGAGGTATTGAGTTGTATTGAGTTGTATTGAGTTGTATTGAGTTGTATTGAGTGATACAACTGTTGTAGTGATTGTGTTGTTGTGTTGACTGCACTGTAATCTGGACTCAATTGAGACAATTGTCGACAATTATGGCAAAGGATTACTACAAGATATTAGGCATCTGTAAGACGGCGTCGGATGAGGACATCCGGAAGGCGTACAAGCGTTTGGCGCTTCAATGGCATCCCGACAAGAATAAGGCCAAAGGCGCTGAAGACATGTTCAAAGACATCGCCGAAGCCTATGAAGTGCTGTCCGACCGCAAGAAGAGAGACATTTACGACCAGTTCGGCGAAGAGGGCCTCAAAGGCGAGGCATCGGGCGGTGGGGGCGGCGGTGGCGGTGGTGGTGGGGGTCACAGCGGCCCGCATTACTCGTACACATTTCATGGCGACCCCCGACACACGTTCAGCCAATTCTTTGGAACCGATAATCCATTTGAGATGTTCTTCAATATGGGAGGACTCGGGGGTCAGAGCGGGGGTCAGAGCGGAGGCGCAAACACTCACTTCCAGACCAGCGGTGGCTTCGATGCGATGGATGTCGACAGCGATAATGTCTTCAATTTCATGTCATCCGGAGGACAGTCGGGTCCGCGACAGCAGTTCTCGAGCGAGTCGTTGGGCGGCTCTGCGCGCAAGAGTCGGGCCAAACAAGACCCGCCTATTGAGCACCAGTTGATGGTGTCGTTAGAAGAGGTGCTGAAGGGCTGTACGAAGAAAATGAAAATAACTCGAAAGGTGTTGAACAGTGACGGCAGGAGTGGTCGCAAAGAAGACAAAGTGTTGACCATTAATGTGAAGCCCGGATGGAAAGCCGGCACTAAGATTACGTTCCAACGCGAGGGCGACCAGAACTCGGGATCCATTCCCGCAGACATTGTTTTCGTCATTAAAGACAAACCGCATCCGCAGTTCAAGAGAGAGGGCACAGACATGACATATACACACAAATTGTCACTTAAAGAGGCTCTCTGTGGCGCTCACATCACTGTTCCCACACTTACCGGTGAAAAGGTGTCGTTCCGTATGACAGAAGTAGTCAAACCATCAACTATTCACCGAATCCGCGGTCACGGACTTCCTCTTCCCAAAGAACCTCAACGAAGAGGTGATCTGTTAATTCATTTTGAGATCAAATTCCCAGAAGTTTTATCGGAGTCTACAAAACAAATACTGAGAGATATATTGCCGTAATTGCCGTAATCGGCATTCAATGCCTCATCAGCTCATGTTTGAAATCAATTATAATTAGATTTGTAATTAATTGTTCAATTTGTGCAGTCATTCTCTGCCTGTTTTCAAAGCTTTCAATTCATTTTATGTAAATTTATTTAAGTGTATGTTATTTAATAATAATTATATTGTATTTTTTGTATTACAATTTTGATTGAAATAATTTTGATTGAAGTTTGATATACAATAACTATAATACCATGTTTTATGACAACATATCATCGCTTTTGCTTTACGATCAGTTCAAATGACAAGACATACAAAATATTAATTTAAATTTAATTATATTAATGGTAATTAAATGTTACCTCATTTTATTATGTCTTGTATAAAATGTTTTGGATTCATTGTTGTGTATATATGTATAAAAAAAGTCATTAAATATTGATTTAACTGTTAACTACACGATTTGCAAGTGATTTATTGTGAAATATGGTCAACATTTTGAACCCTAACAAACGAAAATGTTTTGTATAATTAATGTCCAGGAATATTTTGGATTATCCAGGAAATGGAAATTTTGGCAGAGTCCATGTAGGAGTAATTCCTGTACATTACAAAATGCCGGAAGTAAATTCTTCATAATTAAACTGTAGGAATTGTGTTTAGCAAATTCCATCGGTTTAGGTTGATGTATTTTTAATGACTAATAATGAGATTTATTGATATCGCTACAAATAAAAGTGTATGCACTGCTGTAGCCATTTGTAAAATGGTTTAAAACAGTTGTTATATTATAAAATTCAATAAAAAATATCACACTATTCCTGAATCAACATAAATTTTATTATTAAATTTAAAAAATCCTATGTTAATGAAATAAATGTTATTCTATTGCAATAAAATTTTATTATATACTTTTGAATAAGAAATTTTCAATTAATAATATAATACACACTTTGAAAGATTTAATGTACAATAAGAATGAATGCATAATATTTGTAATATTGTAATATAACAATATACCAACAATAGTATAAACCCATACAGTATTATGCAATAGTATTTCTACACATTAGATTTTACATACAATATTGCATTTAATTCATTTATCGATACTTTATTTATTTGTAATTTTAATAATTGTTATCATTAAAGATGGAATGAAACGGAAAAGCACTTCAATTTACTAGAAATTAGTAAATTATTTCTTTAGATAAAATCTAAAACTAATGGGCCATTAGTAGTGGCAATCTATTTAGAATAAATGTACACTCAATATTATTATTTTAAACAATTTTTCAATTATTTAAGTAAACTTGTTCTAAAATTTTTAAAAGTAATGTAATATAGCAAAAAAATATTTACAATATTCATGTTATTTACAAATGATTTTAATCAAGATTAGCCACAAATGATAATAACGTTTAAAAAATATTGTTTTGTCTTTAATTGCATTCTAGGATTTCTGTGCAAAACAGATATTCTTGTGTTAATTTATTTAAAGAATATCCGTTTTTTCAAATAAATAAATATAAAGTTGTGTAAAGTTTGACAAATACTTTACATTGAGTTGAAGGTAGTTATGGTTTAAACAATTTTCAGTAAATTGAATTAAAGTCAGCGCTGTATTGAGGAGGACAGCCATCGTTGTACTTGTCTTTATAGAAATCATCTTTTTTGTGGGGAAATTTGGTTTTGCTTTGACAGGCGAACGCAAACCGGAAGTCTTTGATCATCTCATCAAATATGGAATCCTTTCGATCACAATAATAAACAACATCTCAATCACAGTAATTAACAAATCATAATAATAAGAGATTATTATAATGTGATGAGATATAGACCTCTTTTGTGGCATCACTTCTTGCTTTCCAAATGAACTCGAATATAGCGACGAGAAAGGATAGGGAGAGCCCTCCCAACAGCACCACAAACACGCCTCCGACGTGATCTATACTCAGGTTATTCACAGATGAAGACTTCTTCGTCTCTTCAGCGCATTGTCCTCCGCCTGTATGGCAGACATGATTGCAATGACAATAAATACAATGTCTTAAATGAATGCAAACCTTTCTTCTGCTTCCACCACCGGTCCTTCAATTGCAATAGAACTCCATTTTCATGTAATTTTAGTATTGCTTGAGATAATGGATTTCTATACGGAGAGTCTAATATGTGTACAATCAATATATTACTCATAATATCCTTAATTTCTATATTATTATTATTATTATTATAAAAATTAATATAAATTAGTTAAAGTTATACAACTATATGTAACTACAATAATAAAAAAATTCAAGTTTTCAAATTTCTTAAATTTCAATTTTGCTTTTCCCAAATTAAGGTTAATACTGTATATCGTTTTCTTTGTTATCCTTGTTATAAAATTTATAATATAAATTCTAAATATAACTTATAATTTAAATTATATGATATATTTATACTTTACAATGTGTAATTACAGTTATTAATTACAATTTATAATGTATAAAATCTATACCTTTTCTCGTAGCGATTCCATATCCTTTGGTATCCAAAAGCCCTCCAATTTGTGTCAAATTACACAATCTTTCAATATTATATTCTATGGATGCGCTCTCCCTGTATATTGATTAAAATCTCATTTATCTTATCATTATATAATATTTTTTGTTACATTTTTTAATCAAACAATTATGCATTATATTTATAAAAAGTGTACATCAGAGTGAACGAGAGAGAGAGAGAGAGAGAGAGAGAGAGAGAGAGAGA